TGGGAGGGCTGCTCTGCAGTGTCTGCAGCACCCAGAGTGCTCCCCAGGGTCCTTGGGATAAAGCGTGGGGGGGCTGTGGGTGGAGAGGATGGGAGAGAACTGCTGGTATCTGGGGGGGCTGCAGCATCACCACCTGCATCCTGGGGTTGTCCATTGCATTCCCAGACCACCTCCATCCCATAGACCTCCACCCCATCCCCAGGGACCACCCCCATCCCACTGACACCCACCAGAGATGATCTCCATCCCATGGCCATGCAGGTTGAGCTGTGGGGACCCATTGGGTCCAGTGCCCTGTGCGCACCTCCATGCCACCCAAACTCCAGGATCTGCACCGTGCAGGAGGGCACCGTCCCTCCACTTTGCCCCAATGCCATTTTGGGGGCACGGTGCCCCCCAGGGGTTTTGGACACCCTCCCCTCCACCTCCTTCAAATTAATGGCAGTGCCGTGAAGAAAATTGAAGCCATTACTCTTCCCTCCCGTCCTCCATACCCACGAAGCTCACCCACTTGACATGCTAATCACAGCTAACGAGGAAGGGAGGCCATTCCCCACGTCAGCCTGGTGCAGCTGGCATCACCCCACCGAAGCCCCCCCAGCTCTCAGCAACGCCACCCTCATCCCTGACCCCATTATAACACGGGGGGGTGGGGGGTGGGCAGGGGCTGCTGGAGGTGTCCCCACTGCAGGGAGGGCCTCAGCTGCAGTGCTGCTTTTCCCAGAGGAAGGGCCAGGCCCTGGGAAGCTATTTCCCCCCTCCATGACCCCCCCTCTGTGCTCCTTCCGCTCCTCCCGCAGTGATTCGGGCTCTGGGTGTGATGGTGAGTGCGGTGCTGGAGGACCCCAGCCCCATTTTGGGGTCCTGCAGAGCCCCGACGCACTCACCGCACCCAGCAAGATGCAGCTGTGCCCATCAGCCCCACATCCACGTGCTGGACTCAGCCCAGCCGGGCAGAAAGCTCTGGAGCCCATTAACATTCCCCTGAGCCATCTCGTCCCCTCTCTGCCCTGCCTCTGTTTTAATCAAGCCCAGCCTGGCGCCGTGCAAATAACCGGGGCGGTCGGCACCCTGCAAACCCACAGCGCTGCTGGCGCCGGGCGCTGCTGCCCTGCTGTGTGCCCACATCCCTCGGGGCGTGCCCACCTCCCTGCTGTGTGCCCACCTCCCTGCTGTGTGCCCCTGTCCCCCCAGTACGTCCCCATGCTGCTCACACACCCCAATGTGCCCCAGCACATCAGTGCATCCCCAGGTCCCCCATGTGTCTCCATGCCCTCGGTGTGTCCCCATGTTCCCAGTATACCCCCATGTTTCCAGTGTCCCCATGTCCCCATCATGTCCCCAGTACATCCTCATGTCCCCAGTGCCCCTCTGTGTCCCCAGTATATCCCCACGACCCCAGCGTGTCACCAAGTCCCCAGTACTTCCCCCATATCCCCAGTGCATCCCCAAGTCCCCCATGTGTCCCCATGTTTCCAGAGCACCCCCATGTCCCCAGTGTGTCACCACATCCCCAGTGCACCCCCATGTCCCCATTACGTCCTCATGTCCCCATCATGTCCCCATGCCCCCAGTGCACCCCCAAGTCTCCACTGCCCCCATGCCCCCATGTCCCCAATACATCCCCATATCTGCGATGTGTCACCATGTCCCCAAGCCCCCCTCGTGTCCCCAGTGCCCCCCATGTCCCCAGTACATCCCCACGTTCCCAATGCGTCACC